ACATAACCAGTTGGGGAATGCGTAAGCTTTTATTATACTCATCCTGCCCATCCATGAAACAAAAAAATATTTACAATCTGCCAAATTCTTTTCATATTCCTTAATTAAAGCCAGATAATTAGTTCTCCAAATATTTTCAACATTGTCTTTTAAGATTATCTTTAAGTATGTAATCTCTGTTTTATTCACCAAAAGCCCATATTGTCTTTGAATTGTATGTATAGTTTCTTCTTCTATTGCTATTGACATAATTTCAGATTTGTTTTTATTTACTTTATAATTAGACAGAAAACTATATGTATCTATCTCTTAAAACAAATAAGATAATTATATTTCTCGGGAACTAAGAGTCACCAACACATTGTCTGCATACATGATTAGTTTGCACTCTATTGTGCCTATTTTTATACCCTTAATGTTTTTATTGTTACATATAATATTAGCAAGTAGTTCCAGAGACATAATATAAAGCATTGGAGCTAACGGACATCTTTGTCTTGTGCCGTTCTTAATATTCAGCCAATTCGAGCAGAATTCTTGACCTATTACTCTAGCAGATGGAGATGCATACTAGGCCATGACAGAGTCAATTAAGCCATCCCCCAGATTAAATGCTCTCATGGTTTCTTCGAGAAACAGCCAATTGACCCTGTCAAAAGCCCTTTCTGCATCAATAGACAACATTAACATCGGTTGTTGTTTTTGCTTTTGTAAAATCAATTAGATGAAGTATCTTCCTTATATTACTGTTTGAATGACGGGATCTCACAAATCCTGTTTGATCCGTTCCAATTATCAAGGGCAGAGTTGTGTCAATTCTCTCAGCCAATATAGCCGAGTATATCTTGGTGTCTGAATTGGTTAATGATATTGGTATGTAGTTTGCTACCCCTGTGGGATACTTATTTTGCTTTGGAATAGGCCGGATGGATGCCTGAAGCATATCTTCTGGAAATCTTTTAATTTGTTTTATTTCATTAAAAAGGTTTGTCATATGAGGAGACAATATTTCAGATAGTTTCTTATTTAATATATTAGACATTCCATCCAGTCCTGTGTCTTTATTTATTTTTAATTTTTTTATAGCCTTTTTACTTCTATTATTTGAAAGGGAGAATCTAAGATTTCTCTTTGTTCCTGTGTTATTGTCGGTAACTTGGTTGTAGTTAAATACTCTTTAATTCTCTGTCTGTTTTGTTCTTGCTGGGGAATATTTATAGTATAAACTGTTGGAATAATTCTAAAATCAAGCTCCAATTTTCTCTGGGGAGTTATGGACTTCATTATTATATACTATTTAAAAAATTCTAGATTTTAAATTCTGTTTCTTAACTTGATTAGTCAGCAATCTATTAGGTCTATTACCCATATAGTACATTTTTGTTTCATTCTTAATAAGGTTTTATTTGCTTTCTCTAATAGCTGTTTTCTACTCTCCTCTTTAAACTGATCTATTTTGATTTTAACCAAATCAGAAAAGTTTGTATTGAATTCCCTTTTCAATTTTTCCAATTGGATATGCAAGTTCGGTAACGATTTATAATTATTTTTTCTCTGATGTGCATCTAGTTTAATTATTAGCCCTCTAATTACAGATTTTACCACATGACAGGAGGCTTCATATTTGCATATTCTTTCTTTACTTAACAACTCCAGTGTAGCAGTTACCCCATGTAGCAGAGGGGTTTCAACTGCCGGAGGGTGTCCTTTTCCCGATCAGTGAGGAGGATTCTCAGCATCCAGTCGTGATCCAAGCGAAGAAGCTCTTACAAGAGCTAGTGTGAATAGCTGTATAGCGGGTACTCCCAATAAGAGACAGGACTCTAGATTGAGGGTGAAGTAGAACTGAGGTTTAATGGCAGGTACTCTCCTTTTATGAGGTGCTCCCATGCAAGGGAGACACCCACAGACAATTAGACATTAACCAATCAGACAATGGTTACAACCCACAGATTCCCTCCCCTCTGCTTGGGAGATAATTGAGTTTCTTACGGTATCTACTCAATTATCTCCAAGCTAAAACATATATTTTTGTATGCATTTTTATAACTTTATGATTTTTCATCATACATGAATAAAACTATATATTTTTATGAACAACACAACTTGGGGACAAACATATTCAAAATTCGTACAAATCCGTTCAGTGGTTCCAGAAATATTGAAAAGTCTCTTTGGACCGACTGCACGCCTGTTTGCATGCCCAAAACAATTCCACAGATTCAGGTTGTGCGGTCGGTCTATTTCTGCCTTGAAAAATAACAATAATGAGTCCCATCCGAAGGCGGGGTTCGAATAGTCGAACGCACTTCGACTTCTGTTGAAGTGTCGAAGTAAAATGGGGTTAAGTTTCAGCGGTGGTCGTTAGTTAAGTGGCAGTCTATTTTACATGAAAAAGATGACAAAGTCCCAATCGAACATGCGTATGAATCTTCAAATGGGACTTAGTCTCCAGTCGCAGTGTCGAAGGGTAGGGGAAGGTACAGGTCAGCGGTGTTCATTCAAATGTGTGGCCGATTTCCGTTCCAAGGATTTGACAGCACACACCGCTTACTGCGTTCGACTGCATTAAAATGGCCACCGCCACGTGTTCGATTGTCTAATGGTGGCCACTTCGACTACTTCGGCACTTCGGCTGTATCCGAAGTGCCATATCAAAGGTACCCATTCTTTGCACAGCACAGTTAAAGGGCCAGAAACAGTCTTTGTTCTTGGGTGCAGCGCAATGTGGATGATGGCAGGAAAACAAAAGGTAGAGGTTCCCAGGCAACATGGTAAGAGGGTGTTACAACATATATTACAGATCCAATGAAAAACAGGGGGATCTGTTACATCCAGTAGCACAGATCAATCAAAAGTTTTAACCAATCAGAATCAAGAAACATTTCTACATATGTCTCTGTGGTGCCTACTGTCACGGCAAGGGTGTATAATTTATTATGACACTATGGAATATCATCTTTTAATGTGATTTCTTGTAGTAAATGGCACAAATTACAGAGATGCTATTGCTGAGGTCAACAGGGGTTACATCTTTTGAAGCTGGGACCCCCACAGAGGGCAGATGACAGAAGGGGTAGTGTGAATGGCATAGGAATGTGAAAAGGATTTTACTGTATGGATGTGAAGTCTGCAAGGTGTGAGGTTCTACACTTGGAAAAAGTCTGAATGTCTCTTCATCCATTTGGCCTGTACCTTGTAAGTGATGAGTAAATCTCTTTGATATGTAAATGCCATTAGCTTTGTTCTAGTATCATATCCAAAGGAAGGACAAAAACATTCATATTTACCCCCACAGAATAATAATTAAGCCTCATTTTTGTTATATTTGGAATGTGACAAGCGCCATCTTCTAACCAAGTCCAAACATGAGTGGCCTAACTTGACCCTAGGGAAAGGAATTGTGATGTCCGTCCTATTGGATCGTGGGTGGGACGTGCAACATGTCTATGGAATGGGAAAATAATAACAAATTTGTAGATGCAATTATTATTTCTGTGGCAGGTACAAAAAATAAGATAGAGTCAAATGTTTCCATTTGGATTGACAGTGGTCTGGAACAAAGGAGGTGGTCAGTTATTATTTCTGTAGGTACGCCTTAACTCCACCCCTGGGCAAGACTTGATAAACCACAGGGTATATATCTAATGATCCTGAAGGGTGTTTGTGTACTTGCTTGGGGCCAAGATCTAATTTTGGGTGAGTCACCATCTTTCCTTGCCAGAGACCCCCTGGACAGAAGTTGTACTTTGAAAACCTAAGTGAGTAATTAGGACTTCTGTATTTTATCCTTTTTGTTTTTATCTGTTGTTGGTGTAAATAATTTGTTTATCATATATTTTTATATGCACTGTGACTATCTTTTGCTCATAATAAACATTCATTTATTAAGTTTTGCCTTTGTCTGGTTAAGAATCACGTTACCTGAAGAGACTGGTTAGTATTTTTATAATTCCTTAAATATTGTACTAAGTAATATTTGGTGGGTTTTATTATTGATTTACCTGGGGGACCAAGGCACCCCCTTTATAAATTGTCTTGGTGGTGGCAGCGTTAAAGTAGTAATAGTTATATTATTATGTTTAAGTGTGGGTGGTGTTAAAGGGGGATTTTGTCATTATTTCCGGTCTAGTGCAGACAAATAGTGTACTTTAACCCTTTCACCACCACAACTACGTCACGCACACTCTTGGAGTAGGGTGTGTTCGTGACACCTACCTCTTCCTTTTTATTTGCTGCTCCAGCTAGAGTACAGGTCAGAATATTGATTCTCTCACATTCTGCCTTGTGATTTGAATTTGTTTTGCTATTACTACCATTATCTTTTCACTATTGTATAAACTGTTTGCCCCTTTATCCCCTGTCCGGCTACAATCCCCTTCTGGCTCTCACTATCCCTGCCTTTCCGGTGGGCGGCCTGGCCTCTGGCAAAAACTTTCCCGCGCGAGAGTAGGGCGCTGGTTTTACTCCTCCTGCGGCTCGGTATCAGCAGGGTGGGGGGGTGTTTCGGGGTATTTCACGCGCTGCTCACATGGACCGCGGGAGTTGTTCCCGCCGTGTCCCCGTGCGCGGCGGCCATTTTGTTTCGTGGGCCGCAATATTCACGGCGGCCATCTTTGTTTCAATTTCAGACTGTCGGCTAACACTGACAAAACTGCCGGATTCACAGATATTGTACTGCCCCTCTGTGTACCCTTACAACAAGTAAGGACTTTATATTTTCACTGTTGTGCCATCTATTACCAAAATCTAAACAGATATTCTGATAATTGTGTGCCTAACCCTTTTATGCCCGCAATACATGTCCAGGGGCGGACCCTGTAGCACTATCCGGGTGAGCTTTAGTGAAGGTGACTAAAACACTGCCGGTACCATAGTCACACAGGCAGATCTATACCGCCCGCTTGTACCTCCCCACTGGCATCACACAGGGTATACCCTGCAGTACTTGAGGCTTTCAGTGCTTCCCCCCAATTCAGGGCTCCGATCCCTGACACTAGATGCTCTCTGCGACCGGCACCAAGGGGCATCCTTCCCCCTTTATATTACTATACCAGTGTGGGAACTGTGTGGTTGGCACACCACCTAGTAGGCATACCCCGATTGTGCACACAGGGGAAGCCCGACAACACAACCTATCACGGTCACTGACCCATGTCCTCTCCTCCATAGATATCTACCTATATGAGGATGAGCGACACACCACCGCCAACCCAGGTCTTTCAGTCCATGATCAACGCCACAGTGGCGGCCTCGGTGGAAAAGCCTTGTCAAAAATGCTCACCCAACCTCCTCCTGAGGTATGCCTGCTTAACGCAGGCTTGTCCCCGATGCTGGATGAGGACGCAAAGGGTTCAGAGAGGCCCACCATGGAACTTTTTTTGGCTTATATAAAAAGAGGAAAAGCGTACAATTATATCTCTAGGTAGCTCCTCAGGAATACCTCTTGGTTTGGAAACTCTATGTGTTCTCTCTATGAGTCACTATTTGCTTCCGCAATCTTTAAATAGCTCCAGGAGGAATTTATTAAGCTGCTGATTTTCAATTTTCTCTGTAACCCCTCTTATCCTTAAATTCTTTCTGAGGCTACGGTCTTCATTATCAGATATTTTGTCCTCTATTTCACTTATTTTCTTCTGTAGCCCCGTAATTTGTGCGTTAGCTTGTTGTAGATCAACATGTAATCCTTCAATTTTTTCCTCCTGACTATGAATCTTTGAGCCCATTTTTATTTGTTCTTCTTTAAAATCAGAATATTGGGATTTCAATTCTTTTTTTATTTGCTCAATATGATTATCTAGACAGATTTGTAACGGAGCCTGAGAAATATATTGGGTATTCAATATTGAGGTACTTAAAGAGGTTCTTCTCAATATTTCTGCCTTTCCTCCTACTGAAATTACTGAGTCATCCTGGAACTCTTCATCAATATTATTTTTTTTTGGAGTTTTGTGGGGAGAACATAGAGGTTAATTTTTGCTTTTTTTCTACTTCTGCTTTTTTCTTTTTTTTTGACTTAATTTAAACTCTCTTGTTTCATTTTTTTAGTCATATTTTCTCTGTATGTACTCTTTGCTAATTAGCTGTTAGTACTTACTTTTTTATTTTTACTTTTGCAGCCTATTTAAACACCCTTTATAGTGGAAACACAGTGCTATGTATGTATTTATAGCAGAATATAGGTATTTAAAGGAAAGGTGAGCAGATAGAGGGAGTTCTGAGATTACCTGTTTCTGTTTAATATCTTTTGAAGGGGCTCTCTTTTTCCTTTCTCTTTTCCCCCCTCCCCACCCCTTTTTTCCCCTCTTCCCCCTTTTTCCCCTTTACTTTCCTTTTCTTCCATTTTCACTCCTTATAAATCTCTTTTCCCACTCTTTTTCTTGTATGTTTTCTTTTCCCTTATCCTTTTCCTGCTTTCTTCGTCTGTTTTTTTTTTTTCCTTTAAACCACACAGCAGCCTCTGCTCGGAAAGCCCCTTTCAGGGTTGTACTCACGGTTACCTTAGTGCCAAACCTCAATGTCCATTTGCTAAGCCCTTTTGGGCAGCACTGACTGGACCCCCTGATTACCATCAGGTGGCCCTAACAGCATGGCCACCCGATGGACCCCTTCAAGGCAGTACCACGGTCGCTCATTTCACCTCATTGAAATGGTCTGCATGTAGTTGGCCAGGTCACTTAACCCCACAAAGCTAATTATTGCAGATTTTTATAAACTGCAATAGTTAGCTTTGTGGGGTAACTCCGCCTCTAATGGCTGTACCTTTACCAGATAGCCCCTAGAGGGACTTCTGGGTTTTCAGGCTAGTTTTAGTTGCCTAACTGGTGCCAGACATCCTCCTCACGCTATGCATGAGGACATCCAGCGTCACCGGAATCCCCATAAGAAAGCATAGTATAAAATAGGGAAATCCTAATGTGAGTGCGGCCATTAGGCCTCTTCCGCCGGCTGTCATCTGTGATACAGGAGAAGCCCCTTCTGCACCGTTGGGGGCGGAGGAGGGGCACCATAGGGAGCTAAAGCGCCAGGAAAGCAACTTTGTTTTCCTGGCACTATGGTTTCCTTTTAAAGGTAGGCAGACACAGCAATAGAGCAGCAGGAAATGCTAGCAGAATGCTTGGTTGCATAGAGAGTGGTATTAGCAGTAAAAAGAGGGACGTGTTTATGCCATTGTACAGAGCACTGGTGAGACCTCACTTGGAGTATTGTACGCAGTACTGGAGGCCGCATCTCGAGATGGATATTTATACTTTAGAGAGAGTTCAGAGAAGGGCTACTAAACTGGTCTTGAAAAAAGTCAAGATAGAACTGAAACGTCAACACTTTTTTGTAATATTTGATGCTTCAATAAACAAGCACGATTAAATAATACTATTAAGTCCTGTGAGTGCACTTCAACAAGGTTTTATATATTCTAAAGGTCAGAGTTGGCACCCAGGCGTTTACAGGACCGGGAGCAGTGAGTGCGGGACACATGGAAAATTATGTATATATATATATATATATATATATATCCATAAAGTCCTGACATAATGCATACAATTCAAAAAGATCAGATTGCACAAAAAAATGAAGTGACCCATAAAAAAAATAAATTGTCTTTGCTTATCATGGGCTCAGCACAGCCTAATCTTTCATTGATGTGGAGCAAGACGCAGCAGCAGAAGGGAACTCAGCCGAGAAGGTTATGGAAGAGGATGGAGTAGGAGGAGTAGAGGAGGTGGCAGCAGGCCTGCCTGCAAGTCGTGGCGGTTTCACCAACTCCTCTGCAGAGCCACACATTCTATGCTTGGCAGGCGTCAGCAGGTTTGCCCAATGCGCAGTGTAGGTGATATACCTGCCCTGACCATGCAAGAAATTTCGTCCGGGTACCAGTGAGTGAGTGGTGGCACTGGGCACAGTATCCACTGTGAGCCTGACACACCCGCTTGAAGACAACTAACTGCTATTCAATCTATAACAGTGAAAAAAGTTTTTTGTTTTTAAATGCAAGCTATTGTGACACCAGTGAGTGAGTGGGTGGCACTGGGCACAGTATCCACTGTGAGACTGACACACCCGCTTTGAGACAACTAACTGCTATTCAATCTATAACAGTGAAAAAAGTTTTTTGTTTTTAAATGCAAGCTATTGTGACACCAGATATGAGTGGCACTGTAAACTGGCAGAGTACACGCTGTAGGGCTGACACACCCACTTTGAGACAACTAACTGCTATTCAATCTATAACAGTGAAAAAAGTTTTTTGTTTTTAAATGCAAGCTATTGTGACACCAGATATGAGTGGCACTGTGAACTGGCAGAGTACACGTTGTAGGCCTGACACACCCGCTTGAAGACAACTAACTGCTATTCAATCTATTACAGTGAAAAAAGTTTTTTGTTTTTAAATGCAAGCTATTGTGACACCAGATATGAGTGGCAATGTGAACTGGCAGAGTACACGCTGTAGGGCTGACACACCCGCCTTGAGACAACTAACTGCTATTCAATCTACAACAGTGAAAAAAGTTTTTTGTTTTTAAATGCAAGCTATTGTGACACCAGATATGAGTGGCACTGTGAACTGGCAGAGTACACGTTGTAGGCCTGACACACTCGCTTTGAGACAACTAACTGCTATTCAATCTATAACA